TGAAAGCGTGGGCATTCCCTGAAAAAACATGCTGCTTTATGGACATGGCCAGGGGCAGTCCAGGTTAAGGGTGAGGCGTTTTGGGGATTCAAGTGTGAGGGTTCAGAGTTCGGGCTTCCGGCTTTATTACGTTCTACACAACTTTGCCGGGCTTCGAGAGGCGTCGGGTGTCAATTCGTCTGATAAGCTGTCGTCAGGTTTCCGACATTGACAATTCTGACGAGAATGAAGAAGACGATGATTATGATCACCACGATGATTCCATTTTCAATGGGGTTGATGATGATAAATATATGGTAGCAGCTGGAATATTAGCAACAGGATGAGGTCACGTGGCGGTGGTAGTAGCAGCTGGGCGTAGGCCTCCATAGTGGATGTGAAGCAAAGTTTGGAATCCTGCGCCGGCATGACCCATCGAAAAATACATCCATGTGTTTACAATCTTCGGCAACACAGTGCTTGATGGAGTAGTGCAGGGTCAAAGATGGAGGTCTGGTGAGGTCCGGGCCCAGCAATAGTGACCGCACGCCGACGCATACAAAAGCGCCAGGAAGGTCCATCGTTTGCGCACAGAGTGTGATTATGTATAACGGCACCGAAATAAACCTTAGGACCCCGTATGTGTATCGAGTCTGAACACAGTCGCATCTCTTCTCTCTTGTATCTGCGCCTCTCCACTCCTCCTTTGTGTTTCTCTCCTCCTCTCCTCTTTTTTGCTCTCCCACTGATGCCCGTCGGCAGCCTATTATTGGCACCAAGACCCCGAAACAGGGGAACTGAGAGTGGAGGCTGCGGGGCAGGTGGATCCTGGATACCAGAGCTGAGACTGGACAACAATCATGCTCGAGCAACACAACATCTGTGCAGATGGGGGCGGGCCAGAGGATTCAGCATCTCATTGCCCACCTCCTCCTCTCCGCGTCACTTGAAGCGAGCAGCTGTGCTTGGACTGTGCCTCCGGAACTCGCTTGAAGACGGGCAGCATGAAGGGCTCGAAAGGGGCCCGGACAGCCGCGAAGGGCGATCACGATAGGCCTCACTAGAAGCTATGCTCGCCTAGACTGAAGTGACGCTGCGTACTGCGGCCGCGGACATGCGATGCCTGTCGCGTTACTGCTCCTCTTGCTCAGAGACATGGGCAGATCCACGAAGACTTCCCAGTGTGGCCTGGATTGGCCTGGGTTCGGCGCCCTATGGTCTTCGAACAACGCCCCACCCACACTGTAGTGTAGGGGTGGGAAAGAAAAGGGGCACAGCCGCAGTTTCTGCGTGCTGGCGAGGCGCTGCCCTGCGGCGAGGGGCCCTGGAGGCCCGCTCGGCCTTGGCCTCGGATCCTCTTTGGGCACCGTGAAGAGGGGGGGGGGAGGGGGAGGCGCTTCGCTCCGATCTCTTCAGGACTTGAGCCGACCCCTTGGAGCGGTCAGCCCGAGCAGGGCCCTCGGCCGACACATCCCCGGCGGTTCTGGATCCTCCTCTCTGTTCCCGGGGCGTTCTTAGCCTGTGAGCCATTGAGTCGGCCCAGGATAGAGGAACGGAAAAAGGGGCTTTGCTAGGAAGCGTTGTGTTCTACTCACTCTTGTGCCGCGCAGGCGATGGCTCTGCGGGGGCCGGGAGCCCGGAGCTCCATGCGTCGCACCGAAGTCCTTGTTGATGCTTCGGTGCATCTCTTGTGGTGTATGATGTATTGACGACCAGGGTGCAGCACGAAGTTGCGTTGGGAAATGGTCGAAAACTAGGTGTAGGTGTAGACCTGCTTGAGACACCCTCCGAGGAAGAAGGCCTTACTTTGGCTGTTTGAAAGCAGAGGTTTGGATCGCTTGGGAGCGGCCTGGTGGTCTCCAGCTCGGTGTGCAGAGTGAATCGTCGGGCGTCTTGAGATTTCAGTCTGTGGTTTCTCGCAGCTTCGGACAGGAAGCTGCAGCACCCTCTCGCCATTGCCTATCGAGTTGCAGGAATCTGCTCCAGGTGCAAACTTGCCTGCTGTCCGTAATCACAGTATAATAGTATTAATGTTTGCGCTGCTCGGAGGTCTCTCTTGGCGGCTCTCGGTGGCGCGACAGCTCTGCCTCGCAGTGGACGCTCTGCACAGGTTCGCGGCGGGGTAGCAGGGTTTGCTTTCATCCGCCGGAGCCAACAAGACCGCAGGTCGGGAAAAGTGCATGGAAGCCTGTCCCCGCGCAATGTGCTGGCACGCTCCTCGGCCTGTTCACGCCTCCGACTGACTCAAGTCTGTTCCTGAGGTCGCCACCACAGGTGACGTGACGATCCTGGAAGCCGGGCTCGTGGACGCGCTCTTGGAGGTTCGGTGTACTCAGACTTCGGACGACACTGCAAGCCTGCTTGCTTGTGAATTCTTGGATGGTGCAGGTGGATGCCCTGCGCGAGCACGACCTTCTTGGTGCACTAGGCTTGCAGTTCGCCCGCTATGTGGCCCCAGAGGCTGGGAGTGGGGAGAGCGTTGGGTGGTCAATTGCTCATTGGCATTCATTGGCCATCAGAGTCATCACCTCGATCATACGAGCTTTGCTTTCATGCTCGGTTGCCCTGCGAGTTTGCATTTGCGCAGTGCATGGTTTTTGCGAAGGCATGGATTCCGCATGTCCCGGTCACGCATCATCACTGTCATTGTCGCGAAGTCTGTCGAACTGCAGGGTTGGCACGTCCCCCGTAGCGGTGGCACAGCAGCCGACATCTTTGCTCTCGGCCTTGTTCTGCTGGAGGCCAGGCTCTCATGTTGCCGATGATGGTGACACGGTTTTTTGATTTGGCAAGGAACATCGATCAACTACCCTCCCATTCAAGATAGTTTCAAGATGTTTTGGCTCAAAACATTTCGCAGATTTGAGCCAAGACGTTGTCACCCTGGCAGATGGCTCTTCGTAACTGTGAGAGATGGAGAGCCGGCTGAGGCCAAAGAAGATTTGGCGAAAGGAAATGTCTTGGCTTCACAGCAGCCTGCAGCAAAACACATGCTGTTCTTTGTGGCAGCTCGATGTCGCCGCGGAGGTGAGTTTTGGGACAGACGACGCATCCCGTTCGGGGTTGACCTCGAGCAGGTTGATTCTGGGTTCTTAACGTCAGACACCGTTTTTCTGGGCTGCGGCACGCAGAAAACTCGAGGCAAATCTCGAGAGGGTCAAGTTCCTCTTAAACTTCGGTTTTGAGGTGAATTTCAGAGACAACCTCAAGAAGACGTCGTTATTCTTCGTGGTCTCTTAAAGGCATTGGGAGATCGTGAACTTTCTAGCGAGCCAGGTTCACTGCTCTCAACCAAGAGATACCGTACAAGAAGCGAAAATCAGCTTCGTTAACGGCCAGCCCCGCAATGGAAGTGCATTGACGAATTAGCACTTGCAACACGCCCTTCCGCCTTCACTCTGCCAGCTGTCTCGCGAGCAACTCGAACAGTAGCTGGCTACGCAGCTACATCCATGCATCACTCCAGAACAACACGCTCAAGATCGGACACTGCAAAGGAGACCGGCCCCACCAAGGCAGAGGACTTGCTGGTGTTTTGATTCTGGCTGCAGAGAAAAGCACGCGCAAACTCGGATCATCCTACACCAAGAGGAAGTTAAGCGTCCTGGACAGTAATGAGCCTGCCAAAAATGCTCTGCCAAAGCAGGCTTTAAGCTCACATCCCCATCAATGTTTCACCCGTGCTCATTCCGAGACGGCCCATGCGGCCGTCAGAAGATCAGTTCGTTGCAGATGGAAAAAAGGTACGAGCTGAATGACCTTGCCGAGGTTGGACCTCAAAGCCGGCTTACTGAATGTTTTGGTCAAAACGGATTCGCGAGCTCAAAAACCAACAGTGCAACCGATGCAGACACATGTTCCGGCATCCTAGTTTAACGTAGTCGGGTAGTGGTGGTGGTTTTCACTCCTCATCGTCCTCAGAGTAGTCGGAACCTTGCTCCCACTGTGAGGTCTTCGAGTGTTGCGGACAGCCCAATCCAGAGTGCAAGAGCCTGCAGCAGCTGAGCGCGTGGGACCCGGCTTGTCAAGAAGGGCCGAGGGCCCGATTCTAGCAACTCCGACTTCGATCTCTCCCGTCAAAGCTGTTGCAGCATGTTGCAGCCACAGAGCGAAGCCACTTTTGCCGTCATGAGGAGAAGGATGGATGCTAGTTTGCTGGGTGCACGCTTCCAGATAAAATATACAAGCTGGAACTTCATCTCTGGCGTTCAAGACCGTCTCACTGTGCGATTGCTCTGGTTTTTGTTTTATTTGTTGATCTGGCTGTGGTGGCTCCAGCCGCATGCTTGTTATATTTGCTGGCATACCTCAGCAGTAAACAAGATCAGCGACCTGAAGGCAAAGATGCTGCCCAAACGGGGCCATTGGCAACCGCAGGCTCTGCTGGCTCTGTTTGTGAGTGTCTGTGTGCTCTTGTGCAGGGTCCCGCGTGCGGTTCGTGAGCCTGCCAGCATTCATGAACAGTACAGTGTGTGTGTGTGTGTGTGCACGTGTGCGCATTTCGAAGTCGAGGTCGCCGTATGTTACAGACAGATGAAAAACACAGAAGAATTCAAGAGGTGTTGTGTAGGTTTCGCGTGCAGCACAGTGGCCTACTTCAAGAAACTGTTGCAGCCGAATGCAGCTCTTCAATTTCGCTGTGCTCGCACAAATGCAATCCTCCAAGCCAACCTGATTAATGACTTCATAACCTCTTGCAGGAGGTGCACGCAAGACAGGAGTCACAGTCTCTGTCTGAGCAGGTTAAAGCCAGCACCTTCTACGGTGAGCTGCCGCAGATAGCCAGGAGCACAATCGAGTTGTGCGCGGCTCTCAGAGAGCCCGTTCAATCGTCATACAGCATCTCATAGAAGCACTTTGCGTCGGCCGCATTGTCCCTGCTTTGGAAAGGTTTCCATGCCGACCCTGGCAAGCGTCCCTCTGCACAGGTTGCACTCTCAGCTCTTAGAGGATGCTCATGCCTTCTAGGTGCGTTTTGAGATTGCAAAAATTTGATTGTATGCTCTCCTAGTCTGATCTGCGAAGAGAAGTTGAGGAATGCAGGACCACTATCCGAGTGTTGAACTATCCTTTCTCGAACCCTGTTCCGCACGGCCAGCAATCTCGAATCTTCCACTGCAGACGATTGCTCGCAGCGCTGTTGTTCGCGCTTTGGGAGAGGGGTCCCAGACGAGACAGTTAGGGCCTCCGCTTAGGAGCTGCTCTTCGGCCTGGCTGCACCTCCGGAAGTGGCGGAGGCTCATCTTTCAGACTTATTACTTATTACTTATTACTTATTACTTATTACTTACTACTTGTTAATCCTTATTTGCTCAAGCCGAACTTACGGCGCTTGCGCTGAGCAGAAGTTTCCCAGCTCAACTTAGGTAGAGCAGCTTCAAGCCATCACCTTCGCGCCCCAAGCCCAGTCCAGCGCATCACGACCAACGATATGCAGACCTCCCTGCTCGCAAGGGAGTTCAAGAACTTGCTGTACGGCTCTGACGAGTCTGATGGGCTCAAGTCGGGATCCACTGTGCCAGCCCCGGTTCCACCTGCTCGGCAACACAGCAAGGGCATACATGGATGGCTGAGGCGATTTCAGGATCAAGTGGGAAGCGCGGATCCTAGACCGAGCGCAGTCAGTCATGGCAACTCCAGAGAGTGAAAGCAGCAGCGAAGAACGGCAGTGATGGCAGTGCGGCGCTGCGTTCTTCTGATTTATGGTACAGAGCAGATACTCTGGAAACACTCAGGTCTCAGCAGGACTTGGACGCAGACTTGAACGCCGAAGTTGCCGAGGTCAGTGGTGGCGACAGCATGGCATGGCATGAGTCGGAGCATCATCAAAGGCAGCTGCGCGATGCATTGCGCTGAGGAGCAAGGCACGAAACCTTTGGCAAAGCCGCCGAGGCACATGCCAGCCACCAAGATCTGGAAAAATCTGGAGTAGTCGGAGAATTGGATCGATCTGCGCATGCGCCAGCAATGTTACATGGTGCATTATCTGCCAACATGTCGGAGCCACATCGCCATGCGAGGTCCTGGCCCTCTGGGCCACGGCCGGAACTCCGGGCAAGCCCTGCGAGACGTCCAGGGGACCAGGATGTTCCTGAAGAGAATGGGATGTGTCCGACCTCGGAGAACCGCTGCACCAAGCGCCCCAGAGCCTTCAGCGCGGATGATGCCGAAGGGCTTCTTGAGCCCCCGCTGCAGCTTCCTCAGATGAACAGAGGGCCATCGTTGTTAGTGCCTGGAAGGAGTGTCTGACAGAGAGAATATCGATTTGCGAGGCCTCCACCTCCACCGCAGCTCGAGAGGTGCCAGGTCAAGGCGAGCCCCCGAGCTCCCCGTGCCCTCGCCTCGTGCCTCTTTCGGATCTCCGACCGCCGATCTGAAAGTGCTCAGAGGTCCGACGGCCCTCAACGCTGGAGGCCACGGTGGAGGAGCCACATCCTCAGAAAGTCGCCAGCGTTGCACCTGTAGCCCACGTGCCTTTCCTTCACACGTAGCCTGTGGCATTGACTACCATACACAGTCCTTCATTTCCAGCCATTCGGACATTCACGCTTCGGAGATGCGGCAGTTTCGGCACTTTGCCATTCTCTCACGATTCCTCGCGACTCGAGACGGAAGAAGAAAGCAGAAGTGCAGGCTGAACGTACACCACGCAGGCCCGCCTGAATTTCAAGGTGACCGTGGATCCCCAACCGCCCCGGCTTTCCCTAAACTCGGTCCGCCGAACAATTGCCGAATGGGCTCGCACCGATGTTCTGCCACAAACTGCCTGCCTCTTGTCTAAGCTCTTGTGGGAGGGAGTTCGGCACTTCACGGAAGCGCTGTGCTTGACCGTGCAAGAAAGATGGCGCAGGCCTGCTGTGCCTCAGCCATCCTCAGCCTGAGGCCCGGCAGTTCTGCGCTGTCTCCGCTCTCCCCGGGCCCACCACCACCACCGCCGCCACCACGGCCACAAGTGCCGTTCAACTCCGTGGAGCCGATCGTCGAGGCCAGGTCTTCTAGGTCCTAGGCTTATTTGAGGTCAGTTGTTTGGCGTAGGAACCTCGTGCCCTTGGGAAGGCTGGTTTGCCAGAGAGGGCCCCTTCTCGGAAGTCCAGGCCGCCGCCAGACACACAGAGACAGAGACCCTACTCCGTTGTGCATTGGGCGGCCCACCGGATATGGTGAATAAGGTCCCCTCCTCGCCAATTCGACAGGCAAGAGGAAGCCAAACAGGCAGGCAGGGCTCCAGAGGCCGGAAGCCTTTCCAACTGATGGCGCTTCTTCGGTCGTGGATGCTTCGGGAGAGCGTTGCTGAAGCCTTGAATTAAGTCGAGGGGTGCTCTCTGCAGCCGTTTCGGCCGACAGGCTGCAAAGTAGCAGGTCGGCCCGTGACGACTATCGGGCACAAAGTTGCCACAACGTCACCTGGCTTCGGCAATGTCGCAGAAGCATTCCATCTACTACTGGGTCCCGGTGAGTGCGGGCTCGGTGCTCGGAGAACAGGGCCTGGACTGAAGAGTAGGCATTAGCCGCTGAAACAAGGCCAAGAAATCGATCACCTGGATCCCGAAGTAGTCGCATTTCGATGTGGCGTTCCGGCAACTCGGCCCATACTAGTATATTCTTGGTCAGTGTCATGGGCTGGTTTGGGGTTTTGAAATCCGGCCGTGCAACAAGATATTCACGAAGCCCCTTCAAGAACAGAGGTAAGGGAGCTCTTCAGCTATTGGGAAAAGGAGGTGAACTGCGATATTGTGCGGACCTCGGACTTGGCTTGTTTTGGCCATGCCTGCTCACGGTCTTCCATGCAGGCTGTGAGGACACTTCCGCGAACATTGATGCTGATTGTCTGCTTTGCTGCCATGCTCTTGAACCATGAGGCACAACACGTTTCCTCCCACGTTTGTAGTGGGTGGCCACACTTGCAGATGCAAGATGCATGTCTTTGATGATTCCCTTCATGCTTGTGGTCAGACGGTGGCAGAGACGCAGAGCGTGGAGCCACTTGGATTTCTTCAACTCAGCCAAAGCTGCAGTCCGCTTTCTCCCTTCCTGGCTCGATTTCTCAGCATCACAGCAGCCAAGGAAGGCCATTCGCTTCGATATTGCATCTGAGCTGAACTGGTGTAATCGGGATTCAGGAGTTTGTGTGCACTTGCATTCTGCCTCGGCGGACACGATCCTGCACATTTTTGGCGTGCTTGAGTCTTGCGCGTGGTCATATGCTACGTCGGGACAGGAAGAGAATGCAAACTTCGCCTTCAATGATATTGCCACGATGGGTCACAAGAACTACAAGGATGCACACTGGTGGCACAAATCAGGGCTCGTTATATCCTTTTGAGCCGAAGAAATCGCGGGTCGTAACCCCTGCGCCATCTAGGTGAACAGCTTCACAGACTTCTACTCGTGGCTTCGATTGGGCCGCAAGCTCAGCGTCCGCATCCCGCAGATTATCTGACCATGTGTCGGCTCAGGTTTTGCTTCCATCTATTTGCCTCAAAGCAGCTCCATTTCCGAAGGCTCCACCCTGCCTAGTGCTGCTTCGATGCAGTTAGAAGCAGATTGCAAAAATCATCAAGCGGCAAGATCAGTGCAGGGCAGGACGTCCTTCCACTTTCGAGTTGCTCGAAAGGCACTTGTGCCGATACAGTCCTGAGAACGGCCCGCATTCAGGCAGCACTGTCGCCCCGGGATATGTCGGAGATGCCTTACCTGAGTTTCAACCGTGCCTTGGCGCTACGACACGACGATGGTGGTAGACATCGCAGCAAAACTGCCAGAGGCTGCAGCAAGTCTACAAGTAGCATTGCCACTTGTACTGATATTGATGATCGTCTTGGTTCAGACTGATAGCAAGCATGGTAAGGACAGTAGTCAACCGAAAAGTAAGTACAGTGAAAGTAGGACTACTTGGCATCGCCGCCGTCGTCGTCGTCGTCGTGTAGTACAGTAGGAGTCGATGAGGAGTAGTATTTGTCGTGGTCATCGTGCCAGTAACCCGGATGGTGATAGCCTTCTTGTCACAATGTGTGACGGAGCGAAGCACAAGACTGATAGTCATCGCGCAGCAATAGTGTAACAGAAACCATAACAGTTTAACAACGAGATGAGTTGTCATAAGCATACACATCTTGTCAGAAAGGAAGAGGAACGTCCCAACCGTTCTCCAATAGGAGTTTGCTTGTCGGACTTTACCATGTTGGCTAAACTCATTATCACAGTTGTTTCAACAACAAGCACAACAAGGCCAATAACAATCAAGGAGGGTAAGACAAATGCCCTTGCTCCAGGTAAAATCGGTCCGGTCAAGCTCGTAAAAGAATTGGCGCAGGTTGGGGCATGCAGAAGACAGGGGATGTCTTGTGAGCGACAAGTAGTGCAAGTCGCTTGTAAACCCTCATGCACATTGACATAGAGCCCGTAGAGCACCACAGATTTTTGTATCACAGGCAGGAGCCTGTCCGAACATCGCATCGACAGCTCGGACGTGCTACGCGGCAGGCCTGCTGTTGGGTGGGGAGTCTCTCACGTCGTGTCATTTCACTGAAACTCACCTCCCTAGTTGCTGGTGTTTGTGCATGTCAGATGCTTGCTATACTGAGTTCTTCCGAAGATTGCTACAGCCAACTTCCGAAACCATGTCTGCAAGACATGGCAGGCACAGACTTCGTGATTCATCCGACAGAGTTTGACATGGCCTTCACCAGCTTCGAAGAAGACACCAGTGCCAACGGTACCGAGTTTTGACTGCATTTCTGCTTTCGAATTCGGCGGTTCAACGCTTTTTACAGCTTATTGATGATGCCATGGACTGCAGCAAAGTGGAGCTGCTAAGGTTTGGCTCTCGCTAATTGAAGACATAAGTGCACAGATAGATGCGATGGAACGATCGGGATGGCTGAGCGCAGATACTCGCAGATGGAAGGTGCGGTCGCCTTGTCTTGACCTGTGACATGGCAATTGTGTCGTAGCCGAAGAGAGCTTAATGGGTCTTAGTGGCTTAGTCATGCACCTGGGCAGCTTACCTTCGTCACGTACAACGCAGACTTTGACATGCTGACCAGCACGGACATTCACTTCGTTCTCTCACGCTCTGGGCGAATCTGGAAAGAGATTTCTTTCATGAGCCTGATGCTGTCACCCTATGGAAACCTTTGGGGCCTCGTGTGGGAGATATTGTTCTTTGGAAGCATCACCACCATTTTTCTCGAAGAGCTGCTGGAGATCTTCCGGGGCCGGAGTCTCAAAGATGTGTAGCTAGAGAAGCTAGAAGCAATGCACGCTTGCCTCTGCTGGCCGCACGATGGACCTAAATTGATGTCAGGCGTTTGCACACGGTCCTCCGATGGGAAATTCCGCTGCCGTTGCGGATATTTCCTCATGGACTATTTCACGGTTTGGAATGTTGTGGACTGGTGTTCCATCATCGTCGCCTATACCCTACTAGGCACTGCGCATACTGAGCGGGTCTTCGTGTTTGTCTCTGTGTGCACATGTTGCTTAAGCGACTTGGCTCGTGTGCCACAGGCATGTGGATCAATCGGTGCCTGATGGTAGCTAGCCTTCAGAACGGCCTGAACGGATTAGCAACAGCCTGCGCGGACGTTGACAACCGCGACCTCTGCAAAGACCTGACCGGTATCTCAGACGAAGTTAAGCTAACGTCGTCGCGAAGGATCTCGGAAGAGCGCCCACGTTTACCAAGAACTGGTGATGCAATCGGCCTCCGACACGGGTGAGGTTTCAGCCAGGACTGCCGGTCTGCAATTTCAGGATCTCTCACCGGCTTCATTTGGCTTTGGGCTTCGCATTTGTGGGCTTCCGCACCGGCACGAGGCACTGCAGCATACAGCCATCTGATAGGATCTTCATACGCCTTCAATGCTCTCTCCATCTCTGCCTTGTCTTTGCTTCTCTATGCGCGCATATTCCGGTTATGTACTCTCTGTGACAAGACACGGGTTCGAGAGTTTGTCCAGCTCAGCCGAAACAATCAGTGCACCAACATCTGCCCTCTGATTTCTGAGCCATGTTTGTGTCTCGGGTCTGTGCAGCATAGTTCGGCATAGTCTTTGCATTTCAACCCCCTGACCAGTACCAGCCTGGCCTTGCGCTCAGTTGTGAAGAGACGGCACTGCAGTGTGCGACAGCGCCGTCGAAAAATATGCTGGTTACCGCTGGTTAGCTCAGGTCAGCAGCCCGGCCCCTGGCGATATCGCATGAACACCAGAGGTTGCTTCCGTCTTTGTTGCAATGTAGTTTCTTCGGAAGTCAGTCAGACAAAGGCTTCTATCCCTTCTGCATCTTGCTGCGGCTTTTCAAGACGTTCTCACTTCAGCCGCGGCTAGCAGCCACTCAACCAAAGATGGGCGTAGCCGCACTGTGGTGGCGTGCTGTATCCCGATCTATTTCCTTGCTCCACCATCTGCGACAAAGGTTGTCACCAGAACTTTGTGGATGTCGTTTGCAGACTTGGCTGCTGAGCTATCGCTATGCCAGCTACGCTAGCTCTGGACAGTTGAACACCGCAATGAAGGGGTCCTCCCGCCCCCGATGCATACGGCCCAGGTTCACTTCGGCATCATTTTCTTTTCGGTCTTTGTCACGTACGTTTTCATGGCGATGGGTTTCTTTGGGCGAACGGTCGAAGGCGGGACTTCATGAATGGTTATGTGGTTCCAAGTTGCTGTTGTCCCAATTTGTCCTATGTGATCAACCCTGATCATACATCTTCGGTGGGTTGAGTATGGTATTCTGTTCGCACAGCACATCCGCTTTTTCACCGACGCCATGCAGGCTATTCGGACTTTGGACTCAGCTTCATCACACTCTTCCGGTCTCTGATGGGGGATGCAGATTTCGTCGCTATGGAAGATCAGGTCGGTCGAGCCATTGAGACTTTGCTTAAAGGAGTCACGCATGCTTCCTTGTCCACCTCTTGCGCTGACTTGCAGCTTGAGCACTCCGGAATTTCGAGATGTGGGAGTTTCGATTCGGGTGCGTCTTATGACTTTGGAGCTGTCCACGCTCTAGGCATCGTCCTTGTGCCTGCATCCCTTCAGCTTTCGCGGCTGTAATGGCTTAAGCACCTCTGGCGAAGACTCCACCCATCTGTGCCGACACCAGTCCTAGCTATACAAGTCCCTACAGTACACTCTAGTTTGCGTGTCTGAGATTCATCTCAGGCCGGGGTTTTCCACATCTCCTTCATGCTCTGCATGCTCCTGATTCTCTTGAACATGTCCGAGCCTTGTTGAGAGCCGGGGTGCCAGCTCTCGGTCACTGGAGTTTCCATTCAGGCTCATTGCAATCATCATGGATGTTTATGGTGAGACGAAAAGGAGTGTGCCTTGTGCTGCAGTCTGGAGGTTATGCATGTGCGCATCTCACACGCCTGACACAAGTTGAAGTGATTGGAATCAGGCACAATTCAGCGATCCGGTGTGGGACGACATCACCGATGCTTAGCTCGATCAGCGGGCTTCCACCAATTTTCCACTAGCACCGACCTTCTGAATCTCATGCCACCTCGTCGGCTAAGGACTTCTTCAAGCGCTGGTATCACGCCCGCAAAGGTGCGACAAGTTCGCAAGTCTCATCACTCCAGGGGTGTCGTGTGGATGATGGTGGGCGGTTGCAGGCGATCGCGTCAGCCTCAGTGAAGCCAAAGACACCTTCATGGCGTACCTGGAAGAGAAGGACGGGAGCTCTAAAGAGGGTTCAGCGCCGTGCGGGTCGGCACGGATGTAAAAGTTGCTGGCACGGAAACTTGGAAGACACTATCCTAGTAATACGGATGGTTGCAAGGTCCAGGTTTCCAAATGCTGAGTCGGATTTCAGAATGGCTGTCATGGAGAATCGTGTCTAGAAAGTCTTGGTCCATCTTGGTCGATGCTCAATCGCTCGTTCTTGGCAGGCCGAGGAGGAAGTGGAGGTTCAGGCTCATCTTGGGGCAGTTCCAATAGATGCACTTGCCTCGCAGTGTTCGAGGTGGAAGGAGCACCTGAGCTTCAAAGCAAGAAGTCCATATTCGTGGAGCTGGAGGAAAGTGAGGAGATTGTAACTGTGAACGATCTCATGAAAAAGGCATCACCCGGAACGTTGCAGAAAGTTCCACGTGTCCAGCGGGTCCTGCAGACCAGCGACACCCCGAAGTGCAGCTAGCAACATCGCCAGGTGCCAAAGATGCTCCAAGAACAAGCTGAGCACTCCATTCTCCAAGCTGTGATGTGGTTTGCACGGTCCTCAGCTTCAAAAAGTGCGGTAGTGGACGATAAAGACGAGAACCATGGAAACAACAAAAGGATGTCCACAGTGGTACTCAATCCACGGTGGGAGTTGTAAAGAGAAAACAGCAAATGCCAGGAGAAGAATGCCGACATGGACGTTCCGCCAGTGGAGGTGCTGCGAGGCAAATGCTGCTTTCTTGTCGTTGTAGCAGTGAACGCTCTTCTGGATCACCTCACACGCAAACTGGCATGGCCTGTCGCTGGGGCGAACTAGCAGAGTTTCGTGTCCCTTGGTGCCGCTGGGGGCAGGTGTCAGGCAGCTGTGCCCAGGAAGCAGTAAGCTTGCAATTTTTGAGTGTGGTGGCCTTTTGCATGCCATGGGGCAATGTCGGGTTCCTGAAGGCAGCAGAAGTTCGGCTGTCAAACGAAGCTCCATCAGTCGAGCACGAGTGTGCTGATTCTAGACGAGGCGAGAGGGGCTAAGTCAAGAGCTTCCTTGGGAGAGAGCCCGCTGCGGCGATCGGCTGTGGCGAAGCGGCGCGAAGTTCTCTTTTGCCAGGCGCAAAAAAGCGAGCAGGAGCGCTCGGGGGCCGAGTCGGAGTCGGTGGCCAAGGAGGAGCTCTCTGCGGAGGGACGAGAGACGCCCAAAGCGAACATAGCGATGCAGAGCGATGACGTGCTTTGAAGTGCCTTTAGGCCTAGGCCTGGGCCCCGAGCCTGGCTAAGAGCATCTTCTCGTGGCAGGAGAAGAAGGATCCCTTGGTGCAAGCGGCCTTGGGGTGGAGCACTAAAAGGGAGAGATGCCCACATTGGAGGATCTCAGCAATTCCGCACTTTCGCCCAGGCCCGACCTTCGTACCCTCGTCACCGACAGTCTGCATCGTGTGGAATTGGAGGGTGGCTTGTCCGTTCGTCGCTTGACTGCAGGCTTAGGTGCAGCATGCTTCTTACTTGAAGTCTTTGGGCTGTTCACAAGGGAACATCTCCAGCCCGGGCAAGCTTACCATGACCATCTCAGGTTCGAAGAAGATGCTCACGCAGCTCCTAGACACCGCACAGACTATTCTCGAAGAGGAAGGTGTTGAGAGGAGGCCTTCCGATGTCACGAGCATCGAACAAGCGGCAATGTTGCCACATGTCCTGCCCACAGGCTGTGACCCGAAGCCAGTGCGAGGCTGCGGTGTTGTTTGATTCGAGCGCTCTGCGCTACGTGAGGCGATTCCCTCGTGCAGGGTGTTCTTCTAATTACATGCAAGTCTCCCCGTTGTCTCACCGGCAGTGTGATGTTTCTCACTGTGACAGCGGAGTTCCTCTTCTGCGGTTTTAAATGTTGTGGGCTTTTGCAGGGTCCTGAGGACGCTTTTGCAACGCGTCAGCATTGAAAGTCCACTGCCAAGCAGTGCAGACAGAGAGTGTGAGGAGTTCAGTTGCGCAAAGACTTTACTTCGCAGGCACCATGAAGAAGTGGTGCCAAAACTTTAGCACCACGTTGCCGCAGCCGTGAAGGAGAGTGGAGCAGACATGGGGAGCGCCCGTGTGCAAAAATTGCATCTGCGATGGCAGTCCTTGTCCCAAGGAGAAGGGTCAAAGTCGTCTTTCCATGCAGGTGCCATTCCGCAAGCGGGACTTCTCTCCACCACCTCCTGAACCACCAAGGTGAAGTACTGCTCCTGTCAACCTTTAGCACTTTAGCATGCAAGGTGGGATTCCAAACCACATCAGCCGCACAGGCCTTCAGAAGCAATGCCAATGACGACGCTGTGGCAAATGCCCATGCCAGTGTCACCCTCGGCCTTCGGTCAAGACTTTAATCGTGTCCCGCCACCATCTGGCCTGAGGTGCTCTACACACCCAGCCCACTCGATCTTGGGCCAATGACGAAGGTGTGAGAGCTTGCGCTGGCCAGATCATCAGATTGATTTGGAATATCTTTTCTTTACAGTTGCTCCTAGCATGACATGTGCAATACAGCAGTTTTGTAGCCTGAGGATGTTACAGTAGATAGGTGTGCACGACACGAACATGGCCGTGAGTGGCTTGCCACATGATAGCAAGTCTAGTTATTGACTACTGGTTGCCGAGAGCTGCTGCAAACCACTGACGACCTGCGTAGGTAGGACCGGCCAGTTGGCCATCTTCTTAGCGCTGGCGTAGCTGAACTGATGCCCCAGAAGTCATGGAGGGCTTTCGATCGATTGCCGGCACCGGCTTCGGGCTTCAGGGTTTAGGCTTCTCAGTCTGCGCTAGCAAGGTGCTAGTTGGGAACACGGGTTGGCCCATGTCAGGCCGCACAGATAGATGATATTTCGTAGAGTGATGAGCCTGTGAAGGCTGTGCATAGCATTGGACTCAGCGTCCATCTTCACAGCCGCTGTCGGCAAAGGATCTGTTCAAACACGGCACAGTGCCACTGTACTCTTAGGAAAGACTGGAAGGAATTGCCGTGCAAATAAACAGCCATGTAAGTTCCTCAGACGAGTCCGTCATGTCAACCATGACATTCGTTCATGTCACGAACCGTACCGTGGTAAGGCTCAGGGCAGCCCGACGTTGCTGGAATCCCAAGCCCATGGGCATGCCAGTCTAGATTCTAGATGTCTACGGCACTGCCGGAAACAAGACAGCAGAGCACTACTTGCGTACTCACGAGGCAGTATCGAGCCCAAAATTAGACGTATGCTTAATTTCGACCATAACTCTTCGCAACTCTCCAAGCAGCCTTGGAAATCCGAGTCTTATGCAATGAGTCCGGATGTGGTTGCCGAGGCCGCGCACAGCGTGCTTTTCTGGTGGAACTTTAGGGATCAATCGCGGTGGTAAACACCAGTGTTTGTAAGTGAGAGCGGGAGCAGAAACCGGATCGGTTGGTGGGTGCTCCGATAGATCAGCACTGAAACAACCGCGTCCTTTAAAAGCGTCACACGCATCATACGCCTCATATTCCGAGGGATGAAGAGAAGCCGACAGCCAGGCAGGCATAAAACACAGACAGATTTTCCCGTCAGGCTTTGGCAACTGCAGCTTTGGGTGCTGAGGCAGACAAGAGCGAACCTCTTGAGGCGGGGAGTGGAAGGCTTGCAAACACTTAGTTAGCGTTTCTGTTTGAATGCAACCTGTATGGAGTGTTCTCGAGTTGACAAAGTCTCAGCTTGCAACACCCACGAATGTGTAGCTGTGCCGACGAAAAACTTCAAGTTCAACTGTCAACTCACTGATTCGCATTGTTGTCTTGAGGTTTCGGCCCAGATTCAATCTTCTGGGTTTTTTCCTTCATGATGCAGGGCCGTCGTGGGTAACATCTAGCGATGAAACATCATGAAGTAAGGTTGAGTGAAAGCTTGCTGAGGTGATTCTTTCTCGCCTTGATGAGTCTAAGCGCCAAACGCTCCTGCCTGCGCAGTTCCCCGCGGAGGCTCCTGCGTTCGATGCCAACAATTCAGATATGTTCGGAGTGGTAGGTTGCACGCCTTTATCAGGCATGCGAAGCGTCGGCCTTCGCCGTGAGTCGCATGCCACGAAGGATCGGCTTGCAAAGCATCCGCTTTATTTGGGCAAGCGGATGTTCTGTTGCCATTCCCTGTCTCGGGAAGGGCACAGTCTTCGGCATAAGCGTCATAAATAGCGGTGCCTCATCATGAAACGATCATGAATATTTAATCCTACCGTCTTTCGTTTCTTCTCAGCGGAGAGCGAGAGGAGAGCCTTAGTTTTGGGGTATATTCTACTATAATTGCAATAAGGAGCCCCCAATATCCTATTCTAGTCATTAAGGCCCATTTGCCTTTTTTTTCTCTTAGACCCTAAACCCTAAACCCTAAACCCTAAACCCTCATAATAGGCCGATTTATGCGCGGCCCAGCGCCTCCATTCTGCGGCCGGGCCCCGCGGCCGGGCCCTGGCGGGCCGGCCCCCGCGGCCGCAGAATG